ACTGAAAAGGGGAAGGAATATGATAATTTCCTATATATGATACCTTAAAGATTTTACAACCTTCAATGGTTGGAAGCTTTTGCAGACGGGGACACGCAGACAAACTTCTGTAGCTGGAGTGGGGAGTTTCAAACCATAATCGATCAGGACTTGTTGTCTAAGACTAAAAAGCACCAGAAACCACATCAGAACTCCACTCATTCCCGCATTCCTAAGCTTTCCAATATATGATCACGCTATCTTTTGCACTGAAATAAATAAGAAGGAAAGAATACATGCAACCTGGCCGGGCGTTTATATTAATTTATATTGCAACCTCAGACAGACAGAGGGAGAGAGAGAGAGAGAGAGGGTCTGGGCAATTCTAATAGAATTAATGGGGTTCATGGTGGTGGTGGTGCTCTGTGAGGAGGGATGTGAGAACAGCTTGTGGGTAGCAGATTCGGAATGGGTCAATTCTGATAGAACTAAAACTGAGGCCTATAGGTGCAAGACTGCAAGTTGTACACACAACACCCGCCAGAAACCATTTAAAATTAAGCGTAGGGAGAAGAAGAAAAGAGCGGAACGGTAGAGTCCTATTTGAGCGGATAAAAGCTTTTATAATTTAGTATTGATGAGAGAGAGCACGGTAGAGTTTGTTAAAATAGAAAATGCCTATAGTTGAGTTGAGAGTAACTTTAAAGTAGTAACTGTAGAAGGGGGACGATTATGCTCATTTCCCATCCCCTTTTAGTTGGTTGCTTCTCTGTCTCTCTCTCTCTCTTTTCTTTGGTCGAGTGGCGCACCGCCTGATTCCCTTTTGGAAAATTTTACTGCATGCGCATTGCCTCAATTTTTTTTTTTAAAGAAAAAGTTAAAGACACAAAACCCATAACCTACCCCTCTCCTCCCCCTCCATCTGTGTGTTCTGCAGCTTTTTATTCCTTACTCTTACTTTTAGATCACTCGCTCGACCAAAGAATTCCTACAGAAAGCCCATTTGTGGGGCGGTAATAGCTAGCTAGGCAACTTTGTTAGTAATATGTAGTTGGGTTCAAATGGATATTGTAGTGGTTTGGCACATGGGACTTCACTCACATTACTTCCTGCAGTGATGTGTGGTGTTTTATTTTATAGGGAGCGTAAGAGGTTGTTTCAATGGTGTGAACACGGGTTTGTATTGACTGAAGCCTAACTCCAAAGTGAGGGCAGAGGGTTCTTCTTTGAAGTCCACTACTTATAAGGAAAGAGAGAAATGTCAGATAACAGGAAATGTATAGAAGAATATTGGATGCTTGCAAATAGGGGTGTCAATTGGACCAGATTTGGTCCAATATGAGTCCATTGGGCAAGGTCCAGTCCAATTCAATGTATTAACTGTCCAATATGTTCAAATTGGTTTTAATTTAAATTGATTCCAACGCAAACTTAGTCCATTGACACTTCTCTAATATCAATGGTCTGGATATTGGTTCAGCCTGACCCAATCCAATATAAATCTATTACAGATCAGATGGACCAGCTCCTGTCCAATCCAATAAATACTTTAGACCATTAAATCTGGATTGGTCCAATTCATTATGTCTTATTGGTCCACCCAATCTGTCCAAATTGATTTTTGATTTAGACAGAATCCAATCCAAAGCCAGTCGGTTGACACTTCTATTTGCAAACCTGAACCAACTTGTAGAGAACAAAAACACTAGGGATGACACTTGGAAATGCATATTTTGGCATCAAGAAAGATATGTATCAAAATGGAGTAAGTAGCATGTGGGCAAGTAGATGAAAAGTCAAGTGGAAACAGAAAGCTTAATTAGAAGACCTTATAAGACCAACAACATTTTATAAAAGCATAAAACTAGAAAGTCAAAAAATAAATTATATCTATAAAATGAGAATAGCTGGGAAGAAACTTTTGAGATATGGAAAGCAAACTTTCTTCCCACAGGTCAAACTGAAACAGTATCCTTACAAAGATCAAAAACATTTGTAAAAAAAAAAAAGAAAAGAAGCCTATGATGTATAATCCAAGAAATCAAATAATTAAAAGGAATAATGATTGTTCAGTCCATCTCAAAATTCTTAACTCCACCATATCTTGACGTGAATTGATGCCAAATCTATGGACAAGATGAAGTTTAAAGGGGGGCTACTAAGCCTTATAGGGGTTGGCTACTCTGCCATTCTATCGTGTTCAGTGCCATATCCATCATTAAAATAGGCCCTCAATTCACTGGCCTGCCCCTAGCTCTTCTAGACTCTTCCAACTTGTAATAATTCATTTCTTCTCACCAGTAGAAATCAATACAGAATTTGTAGGACTTAAACCTCGTTAAATATGACACATTACCATGAGTGTGGGGTAAAAGAGTAATTTTTCTCAATATCTTTTTAATAGAAAAAGACAAACATGTATGGGGTAAAAGAGTAATTTTCTTCAATATCTTTTTTATGAAAAAGACAAACATGTGTGGGGTAAAAGAGTAATTTTCCTCGATACCTTTTTGATAAAAAAAGACAAACAAGAGACTAAATGAGTTGACCAAACCGATTATGTGGGTTCTGGTTCTGCGGTTTGTGTCCCAATTAATGAGTCAGGACCAGCTTTTATTGTTCTGAACCAATTATATAGCTAATAATGTATAAAGATCTCCTGATTTTCTTGTAATATCTGTTATATTTTATGTCTAAAAGAGTTATAGGCCGTATATAAGAATTTGTCTTATAAAGACTTGTTTTATGAACATATAAATTTACTGTTAATTTTTATTTTTTAGTAAGGTTATATTTTAAAAAAATGAAATTCTAATTTGTTATTATATAATTATAGATGTCAAGTCTAATTTGCTTCTGGGTTTATTTTATAGACCTAAACCACAAGTAGGAAAGAAAAAGAATAAATGAGAAAAGACCATGCAGATCCTTATGGAACCACACAACTGATTGTCTACCTCTACATGAAACCACCGAGTCATATTTCCTTGGGAAGCAAATTACAAGCGTTGTAGAGAGAGACATTCTTATATAATTTCGGGCTATGAGTGTAGAGACTTTAGCCAACAATGAACTACGGTTGTTGATGTTTAAAGCAATAACAAACAACCACGATATACTCAAAGAAGTGAGAGTAACATATGTCGCGGACCCCATCATCACTTCTCCCTCTGATAGTATAAGTTGGCATAGCCTTTAAACCAATTTGATAAAGAAAACCGTGAAAGGATTAAGGAACTTACCTTTGAACATCTTTTGAGATGTGGAGGAGAAACATATGGCAACCCACACAGCAGACCAAATAGAAATTGCCATCTCATTTCATCGAGGCAAAGTTCATAACCTGTTACAGAGTCAACAACTTGCATGCCCATCGAGGCTAACTTAAAAAAGGGTTCACAGACGCCTATAACATAAATTTGTCAAAGAAAATAAAGAAAAAAAGGGGGGAAGAAGCAGGATGCAAGATAACCAGAGCAAGCCATTACTCAAAACCGAGTGTCTTTTGACAGCTAAACTGTTAAAATCATTGTTTTCAAAACTGGACCGGAAAATCTGATAACCAGTAAGTCACTAAAGCCTGTTGAAAAAGTTAGAAAATCGCTGACCCGGGTGATTGAAACGCTAAACCGTTCGACCCGGGCAGCGGTTTGCGGGTTATCATTTTTATTTTTGCTGATTTAAATAAAATAAAAAACAAAAAAAAATGAAATAACCCCCATATCCCCAATCCCAGATCTTACGAATATTTAGGGTTAGACCCCCATTTTCGTTCTAACTCTTCCCTCCTTTCAGCCCTCACACCCAACTGACCACCTGTGGCCGCTACGACCTATGGCGTCTGACGACAACACACAGCGACTGGCAACGGCAGTGAGCTTCATCTACGACGGCCAACGTTGATTTTGCAGCACTTTCAGGCTCTAGCAGTAACAGTTGTGACAATAATAGGTCCGATGACTGACTTGCAACGGTGGCCGGTGATTTTGCAGCGACAGATGGGGATTTCTAGCGGTAGTAACAATTGCAGCAGTACTTACAGAGGCAATCACCTGCGACCAAGCCCAAGCCCACGCTATCCACCATCACACCACCGTTACCGGTAGTGAAACTGTGAAGGACCTGAAGGTATAAAATGCTTAGTTGCTTACTTCTTTGAATTTTTTTTTATGAGTTTAATTGATTCTTTGAATTTTTTGCTTAATCCTTTGTTTAATTAATCTTGCTTAATTATTTTTTTTCTGAATTCTTTGCTTAATTAATTATAGAGATTAATCTACTCACATTGGCTTAATTAATTTTGCTTTAATAATTTTTTTTTTCAATTCCTTGCTTATTTGCTATGTGAATGATGATGATGATTAGATGATGTCAAAGAATGACAAAATCTCTTTTTTTGGATTTTTTTATTTTCTGCAAACATATGGTTTTTGTATTTTCTACAAACTTAATATGGTAAAATTGCTGAAAGTTTTGCTTAATGAACTCTAAGTTTATATGAACTCAATCTTTTCTGTTTTTTTCTGTATGTATTTATTTGCAATTTTCTGTTTTATTTTTCTGTATTTATTTGCATTTTCCTGTGTTTTATCTATTTTTTTACAATTTTCTGTGTTTTTATATAGTTTTTTGGTTTTTTTTTTGTATTTTCCGCACATGTATGAGTATGACTAAACACATCCTAATTTATCATTACTTTTTCTGTATTTTTAGAATGTTTCTGTACTTTTTTTGTATTTTCTATTTATTATGTACTTGGTTATTTTTGTATTTAGATAGTTTTATTTTTCTGTATTTTTTGTGTTTTTTTCTGTATTTTTTAGAATTTTTCTGTATTTTATTTTTATATTTTCTGTGTTTTGTACTGTATTATTTTTGTATTTAGATAGTTTTATTTTCTATATTTTTTCTGTTTTTATTTAATTTTATGCTATTTTATTATTTATAAATATATTTTTAATTTATAATTTATTTATGACATCACAGGTTGAACTGTTCGACCCGGACGGTTGAACCGCTTAACCAGAAACCGGTCCCCTGACCGGTTCTGTTTCCAGTTCGTTTTTAAAAACTTTGGTTTAAATGGGCTCTCACTGTTCACCAAACTATATAAATAATATATATTTTCTTTGTTCTCTTTTGTTTTTTCTTTTTCTTTTTGATAACTAAAGAAACTTTAAACAGAACCAGCTGTGTTCAAAAATACAAAAGCTGATAATCACGCACGAGGACTAAACCAAATTTCCTCCCCATAAGAGTTTTTCATATGTTGTGCCATCTCATGCGCAGCCCTATTAAGAATTCTATTTATATACATGAATTTGGCAAAAGAGAAAGAAGAAGAAACATAGTGAATCCCCATCCAAAAGACAAAAATCTCCCAGGTAGTGGAGAATCAGTCAAGGGCTATGCCAGTAAGGAGTCTGATTCTATGGTGACAGACTTCTCCACAAGCCAAAAAGACTCCACCTGCAGTAGCAAGAAACATATTACTGAAGGAAGAAAACAAATAAAACCGTAAGTGCCTGTGTCCTTCCCTAGCAGACCTCCGTTGCATTGAACAGATCATCATTAAGACAAACTCTGCTCTCTAAAACAGAAATATTTTGATGAGTTGCATGAGAATTATCATAAACATTCAAATCACTATAGGAGGAAATAATTCATTGAATTATGCTGTCAATCCAAATTGCGTATTTGCAAGATCCTTCAAAGATGTATTTATTTCCAGCGAACATGCAGTAGTCAACCAACAAAGGAAGCCTCGCTGCATATGAGCAAGGCTACTAAGGCTGCATTTGACATTCCTTATTTTAAGGACTATCTCCTTTTTACAGTTTAAGACTCAGTATTCATAGTAGCATTTTAACCACAAAAAGGAGATAAATCCTTAAAATAAGGAATGCCAAATGCAGCCTAAGAAAACTTGAAATCAGATGAAAAAACATTCAATCTATCCTTGCTGAACATGCAAACCCCAGGAGGACCTAAACCAGATGCTTCTAGCAAAAGGACAAAAATTAAATATATGCAAAATGGTTTCATTATACGTTCCACAGAAGGCACAGACGAAGTGTACAAGGTTTAAATATTTAGTAGGAATGAAACCCCTACTAAACAGGGTTTCACCAACACCCACACAACTGATTGTTAAATATTTTGCTTCTTAATAGATTCACCAGAAGATCATTAATGCATGTGTACAAGGTTTGTACACGTTTCCCTACCCTTTTCTTTCAAACCAAAACAGCCTAAGAGAACTGAGGAACCTTCAAGCAAGTTAAGTAAGCAGTATCCCAAGATCATCCAGATAGATTATGGGTACCAAGATCTACAAGTGGGATGGCTAACACTCTAGCTAAGCAAGGGATTACTAGAAATCTGTTGTATTGGGCCTGTTTATAATGTGCATACTCTTTGTAGTAGTAGGATAGTAATAACTACACTCACTGGGTCTTCATAGAAACTGTCCATGATAATCTGAAGGGAGCTAGTGTCTCGTTTTGTTGACCTAAAACAGAGGAATACCCAAGTATTTAGAATTTGGATCTAAACTTTTCATTCTAAGCTGCATTCTAATAACCTTCTGATACTTGAACGGAAATTTTTACTACAGTGAAATTCAGACTTATCAAAATTAACTAATTGACCAGAAACATTTTGAAATTGATCGATAACATCTAACAAGCATAGTTTTAGAAGCCCTAGTATACAGAAAAACATCATCACCAAAAAATAGATGAGAAATTGAGAGAGCAGCAGAAGAGATCTGAATACCTTGAATAGCATTGTCCAACTAAGCTTTATAAAGCATACAAGAGAAATCCTCCATGGCCAAAATAAAAAGGAAAGGGGAGGGAGGATCCCCTTGCCTAATACCTCTAGAAGGTCTAAAGTAACATTGAGGGGATCCATTAATCAGAACTGAAAAGCTAACAGAAGAGATACACTCTAAAATCATATTGCATCAATTGGATAATCCCACTCTAGCATATTAAAAGCTTTAGATATATCAAGCTTAATGGCTAGACAACCACCCTTTCTCCCTCTTTTTACTTCATATAATGCAAAATCTCGTGAGAAATGGCTACATTATCTAAAGGCTGTATGCCAGGAAACAAAGCAACTTGATAATAGGAAATGCAATTGTCCAGGAGTGTCCTAATCCTATTGGCAAGCAGCTTAGCAATGATTCTGTAAACAACATAATAACGGCTTATGGGTCTATAATCAAGAAGATAAGTGCAACTAGATTTTTTAGATAAAACAAAATAAAGGAGTGATTAAACCTCTTAACAACTTTTTATTTAAGAAGAATTTAGAAACAAACTCATGAATACCATGATATCCCAAAACTGTTGATGGATAAGAGCTGGCATACCATCCAGGCCAGGAGCCTTGAGACTTCCAATACTAAACACTACATCTTTAACTTTTTCTAGAGTTGGGGAACCTAGAAGCATCTTCCTCAGTAATACAAGGATCAAAAAGATTGTTGATACAACCAAGATTACTATGACCCTGAGATTTAAAGAGGCCTGCAAAATACTTGAAAAACTTATTGACAGTATCCTTATGCTCGTTCACCCAAACACCATTGTCATCTTTAATCCACGTGATTCTATTTCTCTTTTGCATACCCATAGTACAAAGAAGAAAATATCTTGTATTTCAATCGCTTCCCCTAAGCCAAAGTTACCTAGATTATTGTTTCCACAAGCTATATACCTGATTAGTCACCAACTCTCTTTTCTTATATGTCTAGACAACCGATGATCAATCAAGGAATTAGGCTGTGACTGCTCAAGGACAATTGAATCATCTACACTTTTCAACTTGTCATTGATATCCCCAAAAATGTTTTTGTTCCAACCACAAAGATCTTTTTTTTTTTTAATTTTATACAATCTGAGATAGATTTCATATCCAGCATATCCATTTAAGTTCAACTTCCAGCCATCTATTACAACTTTTTTGATAAATTCCCCTTATAATTTGAATACAAGCAGGGTCCTCTAACCACATTTGGAAGAATCTAAATGGGTTTAGACAAAAACTGGATGGTAGGTTGAAGATAGTTAAGGATGGGTTGTTACATTTATCTTTATCTGTTGGGTTAGTGAGCCTAATTAGTCTATTAGACTTAATTAAGCCATGTAATGAGTTGGGACCACACTTAATTAATTAGGGTGACAGGGGCTTTTTTGTCCGCTCATTGTTATCTAATTATGTATCTAAATGTTTCTTGGGGCGGCTGCAATGTTTTTTGGTCTCCCTTCTAAGTTTCTCTAGTTTCTTTTGTACTTCCTCTGTTTTCTCTCTTCTCTAGAGCTTTCTTCTTCCCTTCTTTTACTGTTTTCTCATTACCTTAGCAGTCTCATAATTTACAAATTGGTACAAGAACTGCTCTAGGAAGTTTTTTATCACATTCTCATGCAGTTTTAGGAGTTTTTAGGAGCATAGAGGAGCTGAACAGATTTTTTTTTGGGAAATTTCCAGATTAGTACCCTGTACTTTGGGTCTGGTGCCATTTTGGTCCCCGAACTTTCAAAACGTGCTAATCTAGTGCCTGCCATTAACCAGTCCGTTAACCAGCCGTTAAGTGTCATTTGAAAAGACACAAATATCCTTCAAATGTCATCTAATTCTCTTTATCAACCATCCAAACGTTGACAAAAAATGAACAGTCCCAAATCCTTGCCTCTTCTGTTAAAGAAAGTTGGGGTCACCAGAATGCCCACACCCCAACTTTCTTGAATAGAAGAGGCAAGGATTTGAGACTGTTCATTTTTTATCAACATGCGGATGGTTGATAAAGAAAATTAGATGACACTCAAAGGGCATTTGTGTCTTTTCAAATGTCACTTAATGGCTGGTTAACAGATTGGTTAATGATAGGTACTGGATTGACACATTTTGAAAGTCCGGGTACTGAATTGTCACGTTTTAAAGTAAGGGGACCAAAGTGGCACTAGGCCCAAAGTACAGGGTACTAATCAGGAATTTTCCCTTTTTTCTCATTCTTGGAGTTTTTTAGGAGTTTTCACTGCCCAAGTGATGTTCTTGGATAGCAGCCTAGAAAACGGGAAGAATCAGTGAAGGAAGGGTGATTCTAGGTTGGAAGCCTACCTTGGGGCTGCAAGTAAGGCTAAGTTTGGGAGTGCTTAAAAATAAGTACTTATTCAAATAAGCACTTATTTTGGGCCAGGACCACACCAATAAGCACTTATTTATGTTTGAAAAATAAGCCTAAAAGAAGTGCTTATTCTGAGAATACGCACTTATTTGAGAAGCACAAATTTTGGGCTAAGTGCTCATTTTCTTTCTGGCCTATCTTGGCCCACCACATCATTTTGAAAATACCTATACTATCCCTGTTTAAAATAAGTGCTTTTTCACCAAACACTCATAAGTGCTTATTAGAACAAGCACTTAGTTTTCAAATAAACACTCCTAAACATGGCTTAAGATCAATTGTACTAGGAAGTGTCTTTTGGCTGTCTAGGGGAGAAGGCCACTATTATTCTTATACTTCCTAGTCTCTGTACTGCTGCTGATTGCTCCGGGAAGGTTTTCAAATTGTTTTTGGGGGCTCTTTGTGTTTGGGAAGCAGATTTAAGGTGCTGCAATCTTCCTCTTGAGGTTGAAAAGGCAATGGACAGTCCAAGGGATGATCAGAAAGCTAATAGTGATTGCGGGAGTCTGACTTTGGTTGCTCAAATTCTACACAACCACACATCAGTAAGAACTATATATTCCTGAACTCATCTAAGGAAAGCACAATGGGATGGTGATCTAAACCCCATGTAGGAAAGAAATTTAAAAGAGAATTTGGAAATATTTTAGCTAATCAGGGGTAACAAAAATTCTATCTAAATTCCTCTCAATACAATGAAATCCTTCTTTGTTATTAGACCAAGAAATCCCACCACCTCTAATGCTAATTTCTAAAAGACCAAAATCATCATCATCATCCAAGCTTTATTTCAACTATATGGGGTTGGCTACACGAATCCCATTTCATCATTAATGCCATAAAACATTTATTGAGCAAAATTATCAGAATTAGTAACCCAAATCATTTAGGCTATGTTTGGTTTGAAAGAAAAGATAGGGAAAGGTAAGGAAACCTTTACAAAGTTTGTATAGGTTTCCTTACCTTTCCCTACTTTTTCCTTCAAACCAAACACAGTGTGATAGAGCTTATATCATCAAATTGAAAATAAACAGATTGATTTAGATCAATTATTATCACAAAGGGCATGTCAATACTCAATAGAATGCAAAACCGCATGGAAAACCAAATAGCATTTCTCGTATTTTCCCTAGTTTCACTATACACAACACTCCAATTTTGATCCAAGGGGCCGGATTTTACAAGAAGAAGAACATACCTATCAGAAGAATAAAAGATATCAACATCCATTTCATCCTTCCAAAAAATCGCAATACCACAACTCAAACCTTCAAAGAGGACCACATACTGATTAGGGTATTTAAGACTAATGCCCAGATAAGTAGCCTTATTAGAAGAAACTTTAGTCTCACAGGAGAAGAAACACCTTAGGTCGACTACACCACCGCAGTTGAAGTGTCGAACTGAACAACCTCCTGAGTGGTGCTGTGGCTGTTCTGGGCCAGCCACCACCGCCCCTATGAATAAAAATGTAAAAAAAAAAAGAAACGCCTTACCTGAGTATTATCATGAACCACATCCCCTTCCGAAACAGAGCAAACAGAGGATCTCCTGGAGATAGAGGCATCACTAGATGGTTGACCCAAAACCTGAACCCCAGAAGAGAAACTAGTTGCAGGAACGGTAATAGAATCCAAGGAAATGACCCGATCAACTGGCTCTGGATCAGGAGTAGATGAAGCATCCGAAGCCAAGCCAGAGAAACTAACCCCAATACGGATACCAGAAGAGCCTTCTACACCTCCTCTGGGACTGTCAGGGAACACATTTCGCAAGACAGTATCAAAGCTCGCTGCCAAAGACGTAGTAACGTCAGCATTCTGATTCTCGAGCTGAGCACTGCCATCGTTACGAGAGCTAGAACTCCCACCAACTCCTGAAGAAGAAGGATTACCAGAAGAAGACCTAGCACCAGAAGATTCACCAACATGCATGTGCCTACCCGAAGAACCAACTCCAGCATTCCTTTGCGAGGACCCCACATCTCTTTCCCTGGCTTGGCAATAAGTTAGCATCAAATCTCTGAAGACTGGTCTACGCCATTCCTCCCTAAGTGGATTTTCAGCACGTAACCACGGACCAGGGAAGTTCATCGTTATCTGATTGAAGTATTGTTCCAAATTATCAACTGAAGGAATTGGATAAGAACAATGACGGTAGCGATGTCCTGCTCTACCACACGCATAACAAATAAGAGGCAGGTTTTCACATCTATAGATAACCTAAACGGTAGGACTCACAAATTCCCCCGTTTTAAGAGGTTTGTCGATAGAGATGACCACTTTCAACCTAATAAAAGACTGATTTGGAACAACAGCCCTGACAGTACCTAAAGAAGCCCCAATTCTAAAGCCAACAGCTTCACAAGCATGTTCGTGAGGGAGATTATGGATTTTTGAATCCATACCTCCGCTTCTCTCAGAACCTTAGGCCAAAATGATTGAGGCATATTCGCCTCCCAGGCCTTCAGAAGAATCCATACGTTAAGCACAGACCAGGGCCCATGCTTGAGGGTATTATCAAAATCCTCTTGAAACCTAAATTGAAGTACAAAGAAACCCCTCTGAAGAGGCCTCACTGTCAAAGAATTTTGATTAAGACCCAAGACAACATAAAGAGCATTAACAAACTGCTGAAAAGGGATGGAAACAATAGGAAAGATTCTCCCAATGATAGAGCGACTCCATATTTCTAGTAAGTCAGCAGGAAGTTCACCCAATTCAACGACATCGACGCCAAAATCCAGCCCGCCATTAAGCATGTGTGCAAAAGCTTCAATGTCTTCAAGTTCTTCCATTTACACTACAGAACAGAAAAAGGTAAACACCAGATAATAAATACAGGAAACTAGTAAAAGTACAAAAAGAACAAAGCTAGAAAAGAAAAAAAAGGCCCAAAAAGGAGGGGGAAAAACCCTCATAAGGGAGGAATAATTGAATAAACCTCACCAGGGACGACGAAAGCGCAAACTGAAAAGCACCAGCGGAAACGCAAACTTCGGTTGGGACACTAACAGGAAGAGAAATGAAAGGAATACAGTTACCAACTCAGGACCACTATTCTATATAACGAAGCACACAATAGAGAAGGAGAGAAACAATCATACGATGGCATGCAATCTGAGCCGTCTCGCTCGAATCGGGATTTGCTCCTCACAGAGCTCTCCTCACACTGAACACCTCCCCACGAAAAACAACATACAAGTGGCGGGAAGATGTTCTCGATGTGCGGAAGTTGGTGGAGGAACGCCCCGTGACGAACATTTCCGGACTCCGTCCGCTTCTACTCCAGGCGGTTTTTTCAAAAGGGCCGGTAGAGCAAGAAAAATCTAAAAGCCGAATAGAACCGACAAGACCGAATCGAAAAATCTGATTAATCGAACCGGTCGATTCGATTTTATTTCGAGATTTAAAAAGAAAATGATGGTATCATTCGGTTTCGGTTATCCAATATAAAAAACCGAGGTTAATCTTAATCGAATCAATCCATGTAAATCTATATTATACTACTAACGAGGAGGTATTGACTTTTTTTTTTATTAAAATATCTCTCTTATTGAATTTAGTTCATAAAGGGCATAAAATATAATTAAAAAAATAGTATTATGTATATTTAATTACCTTTCATTAAGTCTCACATTTAAGTCATTAAATAAATCACATTCTCTTTGAATCCAATATTTATACTTCTGTTTATCATCATTAAATTTTGCTAATAAATTCATACACAATAATTATTAATAGAATGAAATTTTATATTTTTAAAATAAACATAAAAATGAAATCATATTTTTCATTTAGGTGGTGGGTAAGTAGTTCAACCATTTGGGTCAAACGGAAAATTTCATGATGTCATAAATAAATATACAAATTTAGAAATGTAAAAATACTTTTGTTTATCATTATAAATTTCACTAATAAATCCATACACAATAATTATTAATAAAATGAAATTTTATATTTTTAAAATAAATCTAGAAATGAAATCATATTTTCCATTTAGGTCGTGGATAAGTACCTCAACCATTTGGATCAAGTGAATAATTTCATGATGTCATAAATAAATAATACAAATTTAGAAGTATAAAAATACATAGAAAAAATAAATTTTAAAAAAAGTTGGACACGTTTCTATCATTATATATGTCATATTAAAAAATAAGTATGATAAAATAGACATAATTTTATTAATGATGGACATCAAATATACAACTTAAAACTGGTAGGAAATTAAACCATCTTCATATCGGGGGATGGATTAATTAGTGATTCAACCTTTCAGGTCAAATGGGTTAACCCATGATGTATAATTAAAAATATATTTTTTAAATAAAATAGTACAAAAAAATATGAAACAATTTTGGACACATCTATAATATTATATACTAATAATATAAAAAACAACAAGTATGATAAATAAAAATTATCTTATCAATGATATAAATGAAATGCAAAATTTAAAACCAATTTGAAAATAAAACAATTTCCATATCTAAATGGTAGGTAGTAGGTCAATGATCTAACATTTCGGGTCAAAAGGGTCACCTATGATGTTATAACTAAGTAACGAATATTAAATACATACATACATACATACATACATACATACATACATACATACATACATACATACATACATACATACATACATACATATATATATATATAAACTCAAAGAAAAATATAAACTTTGTATAAAGTATTTTAATACAGTTCTATTGTTATATATTCACCATATTAAACAAAATAAATGAGAAAATAAGAATTACTTTTATTGATGATGAAAATGAAATACATGATTTAAAATTAATCGAAAAAGCAAAATAGTTCTTCCATCCAAGTGGGTTAGTGGTTAAACTATCCATGTCAAATGGATAACACATGATGTTATTATTAAATAATAAAATATAGAAAATTAGAAAATATAGAAATCTGTCGATAATTTTGAGTACATTCTATAATATTATATGTTCATCATATGAAAAAGTAAGATTAATAAGAATTATTTTCATTAATGATAGAAATGGGATAAAAATAAAGAGCATTAATGTCTATCACATGACCCAACTAACCATGTCAAATGGTTCAATAATTTAATTAGTTGGGTCATCGTAGACAAGTGGTTTGGTAGGGATGCAAACAGATCAGATCAAATTTGAATCAGGGTATTTTCAAATCTGATTTGATCCAAAGATTCAACCGGATCTCATAAATATTGATTTGAATCTGAATCCGATCAACTATTTCCATCATATAAAAAGTTTACAAAAATGCAATATAAATAACATATTTATAAATAAATAATAAATAACATATATATTATATAATAAATACTATATATATAAATAATTGATTTGACTGCATTATTAAAAACCAATGTTCAAACAATATATTGGAATTGCATTTCCTCTTGGTAAATAAGTAATTTTTATTATCTCATAAATTAAGTAATAAAAAATAAAAATATAGAATCTTTTATAAATTTTATAAAAAAAATTGAACATACATTAATATTATATATTGTTCATATTAAGAAAAAATATGTTTAAAAAAATAAGAATTATTGTTAGTAAAGATAGAGATGGCTAAAATACAATGAAAAAAATGAATTAATGTCTAATCATAGTCTATTTTCCTGGTTAAATAGGTTAACGGTTCAACCAATAAGGTCATTTGGTTGCTGATTATTATTGCCATCATCATTTGATATTGCCACGTGCAAAAATAAATGTGAAAACAAGAATTACTTTTATTGATGATGAAAATGCAATACATGATTTAAAATCAACTAAAAACTAAAAAATTGTTTTTCCATCCAAGTGGTGGGTTAGTGGTTCAACTATCCATGTCAAATGAATCAACAGATGATGTTATTATTAAATAATAAAATACATAAATTCTAGAAAATGTAGAAATTTGTATATAATTTTGGGTACATTCCATATTATTATGTATTGATCATATAAAAAAGTATGATTAATGAGAATTATTTTCATTAATGATAGAAATAGGATAAACATTAGGATATAAAGAGTATTAATGTCTAACACTATGACCCCACTAACCATGTCAAATGGTTCAATGATTTAATTAGCTAGGTTATTGTAGGCAAGTGGTTTGGTAGGGATTAAATTTGATTCAATCTGAGGATCTTATCAGATCTCATAAATATTTATTCAAATCTAAATCTGATTAAAATGTTGGATATCTGAATCTGATACGATCTAATTTAATTTAAAAAATCATAAATTATTAAAAGGAAAAGAAAATATAATAGTTGAAATAAAGAAAAACAAAAAATATAAGTATTTTTTCAACTATTTTCGTCGTATAAGAAGCTTACAAAAATGCAAACAGACAAATATAATTGTATTTCCTCTTGGTAAATAAGTAATTTTTATAATCTCATAAATTAAATAATAAAAATTAAAAATGTAGAATTTTTTATAAACTTTATAGAAAAATCTGAACATGTGTTAATATTATATATTCTTCATATTAAACAAAAATATGTTTGAAAATAATAACTATTGTTAGTAAAGATAGAAATGGCTAAAATACAAAGAAAAAATGAATTAATGTCTTAATCATAATCCATTTTCCTGGTTAAATAAGTTATTGATTCGACCAGTAAGGTCATTTGGTTGCTAACTATTATCATCATCATTTGATATTGCCACGTGCGTATATAATGTATAACATATGTATATTAAATATATTTTATATTTTTATATATTATAAATAATAAATATATATTATATATCAATACATATATAATGTATAACATATTATTTATTATTTAAAATATAATATTTTATATATTTTTAGTTTTTTATTATATATTTATTTGTGATATATAACTATAAATATAAGAAACTAAAAAAAGTGATGATTAACCGAACCTGTCAATCAGTTAATTGAATGGCTTCAATTCGATTTTGGTTACCGATTTTCTAGAAACCAATAGTACCGGTTCAATTTCTAAACCGTGAGAACCCCTAAGGGTTAGGGTGGATATCGAAGAAAAACCTGAAATTCAAGGACAATGCGGGGTGGTAGTTGTACACTTCATCCATAGTCTAGCCCTGAATATATATAATGAATATATCAAAAGTTACTTGATAAACCAAGTCATATATTCTTTAAGGTATAAAGATATTAATAATCTTATAATAATTTATAAAAAACAACTTGATCAAATTTAAATATATACCTAAATGAAATTTTATCCAAAAAAAAGTACCTAAGGATGCATTTGGTTGCAATAGTTTTATCTGCACTAGTATAAAAGCATGAGAGTGCAAATGAAAAAAATGCAAATTTTTGTTTAATTTTATTTTGGATTTTTATTTTATTTTGTTTTATGTCTTAATTTACTTCTTTTGTATTGCAATCAAACAAAATAAATTTAAATTAAAAACAAAAATAAATCAGAATTTACACTTAAATCATTTGCACTGCCATAATTTTGCATCAATGCAAATTTATTTTAACTACAACCAAATACAAATGAAACCATAACTAGAATTGCCCGGAGCCCAGGGCAATTTCAAGGATTACCATTTCCATGAGAATGAGGATGTGGTCGGGGGTCGGACATTGAATATGCAAAAACCGGGCCCACCCCACCCACTTCCATTCCAATCATAATGGACCGAGTTATTGCTCCAATCCAGCTCAGTCCAATACTTTATCCATTAATGAATAATCTTAATCCAATCAAACCCAAGGTCCAATCCCATCCATTTTAATGCAAATGGATTGGATTGGACCCCGTACAATCCAAAATGATTGAAATAACAGAAATTACATAAAATATAAAAACATTATAAAAAATTAGAGGAAAACTATTTGAAATTTCAGATAATATATATATATATATATTTGTTTCAATGGTTAGAATTTCTTCCATTGGCATGCTTTTCTTGAATCTACAATTACAAATGCATTAGGTTAAGTAATCAAAGATTGAGAAGATCAAGATATAACGCAATGGGACCTTTTTCAGGCACCCTAGATTAGTAATTTTAATTTGTAAGAAAGAAGAGATTGAAGAGGATATTAACCATAGAATTAGAGTGAGATGAAAATATTGGAGGGGTTCCTAAGTCTTGTGTGATAGACGAATTTCACTTAGATTGAAGGAAAACTTTATAAAATTGCTGTAACTTGTAAGACCAGTTATGTTGTACCAAGAAAAATGTGGGCAGTAAAAAAATTAGACATTTTTGCATAATAGATATCAATAAATATTATTCCCGGTTATACATTCAGAAGTTCTTGTTTTTTCCCCAAAAGAAACCCAGAAAGCATTCATTGATAAACACTAAAGGAGTACAGGAAGGAAG